TATATATAGATTTATATATACGGTAAACATTATCGTCAGTCTCACTTGTGTATGTTAAGAGTTGTATGTTTTGTATTGCGGTCTACATCTCAAGTATGTAGCTCGATGTACAGCTCCCTTGTTTTGGTCTTTTCGGTGGCAAGTCCTCTTCGATGGTGTGTACCTACTTTGTACTATCTTTTTTGAAGTGATCATCTGCGTTATACGTATATATCCATATCCTCGACTGCCGATACAAATACTTGTATTCATGTATACTTGGTCCTTGTGTGCCAATATAAATCCCTATACACCTTTCTAACCATATACATACCTTCTCTCCTGCTTTCCTATATATATGTATATACCTATTTACTTATATACCCATATACCCATATACCCATATACCAGCATACCCATTTACGTACATACCCATATACCCATATACCCATATACATATATACCCATATACCCATTACCCATATACGTATATACCCAAATACCCATATACGTCTATACCCATATACGTATATACCCATATACGTATATACCCATATTCCCATATACCCATATACCTATATGCCCATATACGTATATACCCATATACCCGTATACGTATATTCCCATATACCCGTATACGTATATTCCCATATACCTATATACCCATATGCCCATTTACCCCTTTCCCCATATACGTATATACCCGTATACCCATATACGTATATACCCATATTCCTATATACCCATATACCCATAAACGTATATTCACATATACCCATATACCCATTTACCCATATACGTTTATACCAATATACCTGTATAATTGTACGCCTGTTTTCTTATATATCAGTACTTATATGCCGATACAAATATCTGTATCCCTGTGCAACTACATAAATACCTTAATTCCTGTATCCGAGTGTTCGTATATCCCTGTCTCCCTATAAACTCCAATACCCCTATGCCTACACCCCTACACACCTATACCCCTACACACCTACACACCACCCCAATCCACCCCTCTGCCTATCTCAGAACGACACACCACTGTCAGAGCTACTGTTGCAGCCGCATGAGGTGGACATGGCTGGTTGGTTTAGCCCTGCCGTGTGCACGTCCATCGTCAACCGCACTGGAGCGGCCCATCAAGTGCCCGTGCGCCGACTGAGTGGGTAAGTATAGGGTATTGGTACCACTGCACCTGCTTGTACTTGTGCTTGTACTTTTGCTTGCACGTGTACTTGTAGCCGAGGGATGCATGCGGATGTACGAGTAGTTCGGTACAATCTCTGGACTGAGTGGGTAAGTACAGGGTATTGGTACCACTGCAACTGCTTGTACTTGTAATTGTACCTGTACTTGTACTTGTAGCTGAGTGATGCATGCGGATGTCCGAGTAGTTCAGTACAATCTCTGGTATGCATGCTCATCTGTGAGTGGTTATCTACTCTTGGGTAGTATCAGTAGTACTGTGTCTGTCTCGTATATATGACTGTGGCTGGAGGTGATGACGAGTGTTCCATTGCATTGAATGGTTTGTATCTATTCTTGGGTAGTATCAGTAGTACTGTGTCTGTCTTGCATATATGACTGTGGCTGGTGGTGATGACGAGTGTTACATTGCATTGACTGGATTGTATCTACTCTTGGGTAGTATCAGTAGTACTGTGTCTGTCTCGTATATATGACTGTGGCTGGTGGTTGTGACGAGTGTTCCATTGCATTGACTGGTTTGTATCTACTCCTGGGTAGTATGAGTAGTACTGTGTCTGTCTCGTATGTATGGCTGTGGCTGGTGGTGATGACGAGTGTTCCATTGCATTGACTAGTTTGTATCTACTCTTGGGTAGTATCAGTAGTACTGTGTCTGTCTCGTATATATGGCTGTGGCTGGTGGTGATGACGAGTGTTACATTGCATTGACTGGTTTGTATTCTACTCTTGGGCTTGTGTACCGTCTGCACTGCGGTTACCTACGACCAATTGATACGGCATCACCTCTTAGTGTACTCAATCGTCCTCCAGTTATGTATTTCTAGATGCATAGGGGGTGCGCCTATCTCTCTTCACCCGTGGGGACGAGTGGTACTTAACTATCGCTCGGTGTCCTAATCTACGATGGATAGGTAGATATAATAAATATAGAGAGAGGTAGGCCCAATCGAATATAGAGAGGCAGAGAGATGGGGTGTCGTAATCTACGGTGGATAGGTAGATATAATAAATATAGAGAGAGGTAGGCCCAATCGAATATGGAGAGACACAGAGAGATCGAGGCTCAATCGAACACTTGCATCTACACACGTGTACATCTAAAGTTTGTCCACTTTACACACGTGTACATCTAAAGATTGTCCACTTTACACACGTGTACATATAAAATTTGTCCACTTTTTGCATGTTACCGGCACAGATATGAGAGTTACCAGCAAGCCTTCGACAATCCACATGCGCCACACGTGGACGAAGATACGACCCACTCAACAGGGACACTGACACAGCGAGTGACCGATGCCGATGTACTCAAGAGTGACTTTGATATGTTCGATAGGTGCGTATGCATGTATATGTCTAATGGATGTGCTTAACACACACAAACACACACACACACACACACACACAC